CCTCAGCAGTATCACTGATGCTGGGCCTCTGAGTGCCAGTGATCTTCTGAGTGGTTTTAATCACCCGCTGCAGTGTCCTCCTGTTCTGGGCCGTGCAATTCCCATGTCAGTTTGTGATGTTTCCAGTCAGAGCCACTTTCTATCACTCCTCTGTGTCTCCTTCGGTGTTGTGACATTGGGCAGTAGATCTTTACACCCTGGTTGTGCATTATGTCCTGTGGGCGTCATGCTCTTTCAGGCTGGTGGGACATGAGCCTCAGCAGAAGTTTATTACTGGATTTAAGAAAGTTATCATTAATATTTTTTAATAATATGCAGTTATGGTCATTTTATATTCAGGCCCAGTTTTACAAAGGTACAAACTGACGCATTTTACTAACTGTTAATACCGACCAGAAAGATGGGTGTAGAGGTGTGTATGGTTACATGTAGCAGCCTGTTGTCGTATTCAGGTGATTTAATAAAGGTTAATACAGTGAATGACTGTACTCAATGAGACTGAGCTCTGGCTCTGCACTGATGCTAGTATCAACACACAGTCCTGCTGCCTTCAGGTGCTGCAGGGATTTCATCAAGTGGAGGAATCCTTAACAGACTACCAACTCAAAAATGAACAAATAAATAGATAAATAAAATAAACATGAATTAGATTTCCAAAGTAGTTTTATTTGTTAATCAAAAGTAAAATAACTCATATCTGGATTAACAGGAGGGATTTAAAACACACACACACACACACACACACACACACACACACACACACACACACACACAGAAAACAACAGACTTACCCTAACCATAACCCATAACACACAAAATGTGGAGTGCAGTACTTCAGACAAGAACCGATCATAAAAAACAGTAAACATGAAACAAATAACCATAAAATGATCCTGTGATATACACATTCAAGTGTTAAAAGCAGTTCCAGAAGATCTCAGAGGCCCCCACAGTTTGATATTGCACAAGCAGCTCAGTGGTATATGTTGGGGCTGAGACATTCAGATTGATGATTTGATTTTTGTGACACAGTTGAAGAGCAGTAGTTTACAATGGAGTTTAATGCAGACAGAGGATTCATTGGTGTGTTTCCAAAGTGGGGAAACATCAAACAGAAATCCATCATGTGATAACTAAAGGGCTGAACATGACTGTGTTTCTCTCTACATTAATGCTTCTGTCAGCTCTGACTGACACTTAAAAAGAACTTTTACAAATATAAGTACTCTCTCTAGAAAATAAAAGGTTTTGATGCCGCAGTGTTAACATCACTGGAGTCCTCTTTTAATCTTCACACTCTTTTAATCTGTCAAAATCAAAATTAAAGAATGAAAAAGTTGAAAAACTATTAGAAACTTATTAGAGTTCATATTGGACATTATTCATTTTAGTAAAGTCATTCATCTGTTTCTGGCAGCAGTGAGGAATTTGGTTATCTTACGGTACTTTATATTTGACTTATGACTTGAAATTAATACAATATATGTGTATAAGAACTAGATTTTTCTTCTTTAACACTCTGATGATCTCGGCCTCTCTACAATCACTGGACCAGATTACCTAACTGTTTTATAAAATAGTGAAAATTACATGTGAGTACTACATTGTTGTAGTGGTACTAAATGGAAATATAGAGGATCTAAATAATTTTGACTAATTTCTGACTATTCTATAGAATAATTTTTTTCCGGGGAGCATATAATGAGTTAGGAAATTCTAAAGAAACATTTAAATGATGCATTCAACTTTAAATTAAATAAACCCGTAAACTCATTTGACCCAGTCAACAAAATTTACTATAGTTTTGAATGTTAACAATCTTATGATCTTTAGTCAACTAAAACTAGATTACAACTAAAACAATTCATTACTAAAATGTGACTACAAGTAAATCAAAATGTGCTTCCTGTAGTTATAATGGATGGACTGTGGAAGTTCTGTCTCATGCAGAATGTCTTTGTGAATGATAAAAATCAGCTGCATGTGAAATACAGGATGAAGATTGTAGATTATGCCAGTGTGTGCACAGCACTGTTGAAACAATGACATACTCACTGTGATCAGACAGGAGCTGAATTTCTGTCCAATGACAATGATGAAGAGTCTGAATTTGGCCTGTATAATTATGTTTGAGAGACGGGAATGGGCATGATTGATTAATTATTAATACTTATAAGTAATTGATTGAGAACTTACTCATTTTAAGTCTGAATCCTGGAATACACAAACAGAGATTACAGTATTAAAAGTTAAATCAGAATTCCTGAAAGTATGAATAAAACATGTTTGCATGTTTTGAAGAAATTCATTATAAATTTGACAGGTTTCTTCTTTTAATATAAACGTTGGAGATGATCAACTCTGACTTAACAGTACATCTGCTGAGAATTTCTATATGTTTTCAGTCAGTTCACCCCTTTTATTTTCATACCAAATAAAGTATATTTTAAAGCACTGGTTCCCAACCTAGGATTCCTGGCCCCTTCACAGGGGTTGCAACACCTTCATGATTTTAAGAGGTGTAAGAACACCTTTTTTGAAAAACATACAGAAGGTCTATATCTCCCGCATTAACTGTTATTATTAAATTGTTATTTTTAAAGTGTATTATTTATGATATGAACTCACTGGATAAGGGCACGGTGAGTTCAAAGCAACCAACAAAGTTAATACTAGAACAATCACCAACCATCAGGGAAGACATTTTTTGTCAAAAATAAATCGGATGTGATTATTAAAAATTGAAAAACATAATATAAATGAAATTATTTAAATTTAAATTAAATAAGATTTCAAAGATCAGGAAAACTCATCTCTGATCTGAATTCATAAGAAATTAAAGCTGCAAGCAGTGTTGGCGGGACCGCACTCCATGCAACTTCCCGGGCGTGCTGCGGCCACATCCCGATGCCGCCATTACACGTGCGGACCAAAACATGAAATTTCAAGTAAATCATCTCAAAATCACCACGCAGCGCTTACTTCCCTGTTGCCAGTAGGTGGCACTATCACTATGTCTTAATATTGTCATGTAGACAAGTTCAGGGCAGGACTGTTGTAACACACATGAAGTTTCATTGAGATTGGACCACATACGCTGAAGTTATGAGGATGTGTTCAGGGCGAGACTGTTACAGAATATATGCCGTTTATTGGAGATTGGACATTGCACACTGGAAGTTATGAGCACTATTTTATGTATAATCTGCTGAAATCGACAAGTTGTTACTGGCATGCGGTTTAATGTACAGTCACAGCTCAACTTTTCAATCAGTTTGTATGACCACAGAATTCAAAGTGGCCAACTTTGACCTCACGCCACAGACACGCCCGTTCAATGTACAGTCTCAAATAGCACAACTTTTAATCAGCACCATTTCTTGACTGTACTGAGTAATTTTGAAGTAGATCCGATAAATTCCCTAGGAGGAACACGAAAAATCACAAAAAATGACCAACAAAAATCAAAATAATTGACTTTGATGCTACGCCCTGGAGGAACACGAAAAAGTAGTTCATGGACATTTCGCGCTCTGCTGTAAAAAAATTCAAGGCAGAGTGGGCGTGGCCTTTATGGGGAGATTCAGCTCTATTCACTTTGAACGCGTGGATATGAGTTTTTGAATGTGTGACAAACTATGCAGGAAGTTATTAGCCTAAGTACACTTTTCATGATAGTAGCGCCAACTGATGGCCCGTCCCCCCAGCTGACAGACAGAATATCAAGGCCTGACCTCTTTGCCAAATAAAATTGACTTTTCGTATATATTCAGGGGGGCAAAAACCCAACCCAAAAGTGCTTAAAAATAATAATAATAGGAAAGAAGAAACATAGCAAATACAATAGGGACCTCCAGCGGTCGCTAGCTGCCTCGGTCCCTAATAATCTTCTCAAAAATCATCCAAATCCCTTATTTTACACAAACTTCCTGCAGTTATTGTGTTCACTATTTAGGTTCATTGTATAGTTTA